GGATTGTATCGATTTATGGGAACTAAAATAAAAGAGATAACATTTTTTAATGTTCCTTTTAAAAAAGTAAGAAATTGAATGACCTCCAAAACTTGAACAAAGTCAATGGTGCGTGTTGCCTTTCAAATATCTCCGACGACATCTACAGATCTATGCTTTTGACTCCGTAATGTTTCTTTAAACTATACTTGCGTTTGCAAATTGTACCTTTTGTGTTGCATCCTCCGGCTTCCACACTTACTTCATCAGTTCGGAACATTCACTGACCGTCTGGAGCAACGTTTGAGGTGGAAGGAAGATTAAGGATGTTATTCGTTCGGGAGCTAGGGATAATGAAGAATCTCACCCCATCTCCAGCATTAAACCCGCCCTGCAATTCAAAGTCAAATCTACGGTCAATTCCATACAGTTATGGTAAGATCTTCATCATTGTGTAATATTTCGGTCATAGCTGCAGATAGAGGAAAGGGTTCAACTCCGCGGATCTATAAGTAATTTTCTCCAAGCTAGCCCAGTGCATGAATTGGTACCTTTCTCTAGCTGGGGTGACGTTTTTACTTTTCTTAGAGTCACAACGCTGAATGAGTCATGGTTATACTTCATTGAATTAAGTAGTTCCAAAGATATTTGGGTACTCCATTAGCCATACGTTCTTTAGTTAAAACTTTTTGAGAAGTGTAGACTCTCATTACATGATGTGTCACGAGCATGAGGTCCTTGAGATTCGAATTGGCGAGCAAAATGGGCGGGAAAGAGGTCTGAAAGAGGACTCATTTTGGGAGCAGAACCCTCGCAGACTCTTTGCAAACCTCTTGCACGCTCGCCTGACGTGTGGGCAAGAAACCGCAGGCTTCACTGCTCCTGTAGTAGCACTCTTGTGCTCACCCAGGCTACACAACTGTAGAGGAAAGGTAGGAGAAAGAATATTGGAAGACTATAGGTTATTTGAAAGTATGTTTCATTGCAACCTGCAAGTTCATAATTAAATTTTTTTTTATTTTATAGATAGTAGTAATGAAGCCACTGGGCTCACCGTTTTTACTTGTCAATGCATTGTCTGTTACTTTTCATTCAGACACTCACCTGAGCAGGTGTACCGCCCAACCCTTCCTCAGTCCCTCCGCTTTCGCTGTTCATACCAATTGTCCACGCGATTTGATTGTTATTGAATATGGTAAATGAATGACGTCCATTTGTAACCAGCACTGCTTGAAAATTGTTGACCTGGCTAGGTACAAAAATTGCAATTCCGTTGTAAATTCCTCCCCCTTTACACAAGATCCTCTGCTTAAACCATTGTGAATTAAGATTATTTGTCTTTACAGCTCTGTTGGGGTTTTAACTAATGTTACCATGTTTGTAAAGTTAGAATAGGAAAGACGGTAAATTCTGCGTTCAGTACTGAAGTGGAGAGAGATGTTTTACGTCTTTCCACGAGCGTAAGACAAAGGAAAAAATTCTAAGTCCTCCTAAAGAATCGAATCTCAGACCTTCGGATTCCGCACCATAATGTTCTACCATGCAGTGAGCCATAGAGATTCTATGGAGAGCTAGACCGATACAAGGTTCTTATGTGACACACGTCCTGTTTACTGCTAGGATCAGCAATTTGGAGAG